GGACACCAACCTCACCTTCATCTGCCTTGCAACAAACACCAAACCAGCAGCAGATATCACTTGGTCACTCGATGGACAGGATATCAGCGGGGAGACCAGCGTCACCGAGGAAGGCCCATTTAACATGAGTAGCACGATCATGGTACCGTCGTTTGAGACATGGAAGCAGATGATCCTTACATGTACGGTTTCTTTGATGGGGATGAATGTGTCTACTACCATTCGTCTAAGACCCAATGGCACAGGTACTTTGCTCCTTTGTTCATGTCAATTCTTCATGTGATTGGAAGTTTGAAAACTTACCCCAGTCAGAAAAACAGTTTTATTTTCGTGCACACTCCAAGACCCGTAAAGTAACCTTTCTACCAAGACTTGGGTCAGAAAGGGAGTGTGTGGTTGTGATTTCCGAGTAGAAGTGCCAAAAAATGTTATCTTTGCAAATCACGCACACTTGACCACAATTTAAAGACCTTGATCATGACAGTCTTATGTTTTCCTTGCTTCCTATAGACCCATTGGCAATAGTTAAACAACTTCACATATTAATCGAATGGAACAGACTATTTTCCTTCCAGCCTCAGTTTAGTTATATTGCTTCGAGTGGTAGAAAAGCATGATGGGTGCCCCGTGATAGAGATCAATTAAGGTGAAATAAGTTTCCTTACAGAATGCACATTTCATTTAATGTCTAGAAGTAATTTATCTGAAAGATTTGAACGTTTTGGTTGATTCCAAAAATTCGAAATTATAATTGATCTGTTGAAGATGTAATCAGAGAATTTTCAACCACTCAACCGCCTTGGAGCTACGGCCAGGTTCCCACGTCGACTTGGAAAACATCAAATCATGCAAGTGAGTTGAATCCGAGCTCACCTTTCACTATAAACGTTCTGATTTTTTTAATTTATAGGTGCAAGGTATACTTGATATGTTGGCTACACTTTTGCTAGAAATGCTTGCCAAAAGCCTTCAATCCATTTCTTGTCATTTTGTATTATTTCATGAGCCCTGTATATTTAGTTTTAGGTTTTCTTGCGTTAAAGAGTGCAACATTTATTTTTTAAAATAAATGTATGTTCCATTCGTACTGAATGCAAATAGATCTTATTCCTTGTTTCCTTGTCAATACGGGTCACTTCCTTGTAAATCTTCAGATACTGTGAGGATCCCTTGGTCAGCATGGATATCTGTTGGAGTTGCTGTCCTGGCAGCACTTGTGCTGGTTCTAATCATTGCAACGGTCTTGTTGAAACGCCAAAAGCGTGAGTGTTATTTCAATCCCCATAGTTATATCTATCGATGGCAAACACTTCCTTTCCTGCGTTACTACTGTTGCCGTTGTTTCTCTGCTCTGGTGGTCTGCTTCTCAGCGAATACTGTTTCTGTCTGTTGTACAGCCACTGCTACTTTGGTTGAGCTGCTGCAATCCTTTGTGTCACATTCAGTATTTGCACATTTCTTCTTTTTTTTTTTTTTTGCTTTTCTGTTCTCCTATTGCTCTGTGGCTGCATATCGATTATTGGCCCCTCAAATAGGGCTGTAGTGGCTCTCTTTTACAACCTGTCTCTTATCTGTCGCCAACTCAGCCCTACTTCTAGGCATGTCTGAAATGCCTGAAATCCAAACTGCAAGATTGTCACAAACATCGTCAGCTTTCCAAAACTGTATATTTTCCGGCGTATGGCGCCGTGAAAAACACGGCCTGTAGTATTACACGCTGATCACGGCGGCGCCATTTTGAAAAACGAAGGCAACGCGTCGTGCGTTGGAAGTCAAAGCACTCGACAGGTACCATAGATGCGTAATTCATGTTGTCATACTATCAGTACTTAGTAAAAAGTTACGCGCGCACTTTGCTAGTGTACAGTACGCCCACAGCACGTGCGTGGAGTGGATCCAGCACATGCATACTAATATCATTCGAATATGTGAATGACAGAGATGCTACTGGCACACTTGATATGTGATTGACACACTCGGTATATAAATAACACTCTCGGTATGTAAAGCAAAGAATATACAGAGCAATCCCCGTTTTACCCAAATTGTTGAACCGGGCCAACGGTTCTGAGTTCTCAAGATAATTTCATAATTTAAATAAAATGTACCATATTTTGTCAGGGAATTATATACGCAAATCTCTGAGGCCGAAGCTGCTTTCAGTATGAATAATATTTCCGGCATTACTGGTGCATTTAAAAGGAAATGGAATGTACAGAAAACACACTGTTACTTTGATGCATCCCGAAAATGAAAGCACATGACAGCTAACAGAGTGCAGTCTATGTAAGTGCGTTGGCAATGGTTTTCTTTATTATTATTCCCAATTCATAGGTGTCAGCTCAGGGGAAGCAAACCGGTAAGTTAAATAACTAGTAAGTGTCACGGCTTTCCAGTTCTGACGATGCTCTGTGGATAGTATTGAAACCGTTCAGTTTCTGTTTATGCTAGCAGTCTATTTATATACATTTTTCTCGAAGTGAAATTAAACCTTAGCTGTTGACCAGTTACCGACAGAGATTATATTTTCAACCTTAATTCTGATTTGACTTGGAAAAATTTTTTCTATCTATTTTTTAACTTGTTTTCGTTTTTCTCCTGTATGATTAAAGAGACGGGTCACTCTTTAGACGGAGTAGTATTGAAAGAACTAGTGTGTCTATGAGTCCTGTCCTCAGCACAGCTACTCAATCATCAGGTAATCAAAGCTTGTCAGGAAGGTACACAATTACTGTGCTCGTCATAAACATGGGAAATAAATTGATTAAATCTCAAGCCCCTGCAAGCAAACCGGTATTCGCTTTAATAAAATGAAAAAAAGGAATGTTATTTCAGGCATTTAGTCGTGAGTTGTCAGAGCATACTTGCATTAAGGCTTACATGATAAAATTGAGTTTTTAAACTGCAAAAATAGGAATGGGTTATAAGCAGTTGAGTTTAGTTAAGGTATATTAATTTAACGGCCGATCCGAAAAAACGGCCGAAATGTTTCATTTTAATAGGTTTCTTTAAGGGTTTTTTATTGCGGGGTTTTGCTTCAGTTTTGCCTGGCTGTTGTTTTCAGGATCCAGGCTACTTGAGACCGCCGCTGCTGTCAACCCAAGGGATCAAAACAATGTACCTTCTTCCAGCAGAAAAAAGCCCAATTCCATAGGTTCGGAGGTATGAAGTTAAGCAATTATGAATTATCGCCAAAGTTCGCAGCTTAAATAGTAGCTCTTAAAAAACTAAGATCAAACGGTTTTCACTTCGTAGACTTCTTCCCTTAATGTCGTGCAGTCTGTCACTCTCAATTCTTTGCAGTTCATAATAAAATTTATTTCTCCTTTTGACATTCATTGTACCGCACACACGCACTCATCCAAGTGTGTATTTGCC